TCATCATCCTTAATACGTTTATCTATTTGATTAATTTCCCTGAATGTAACCAGTTTCCCACTATTGCCACTGTCTCCTATTCTTCTGCATATACCCTTTTCACCCTGCACTGGGTGACTCCCCCCTGTATCCTTTTACCATTTGGATTTTCTCAGCCGGCTTGGACTCAGACACTCATACTGGTTTGACCCCCCTTTGGGGTACCTTTTTTGCCCTTGCCCTCTCTTACTCCACCTACTCCCCATGCGGTAGCCTTCCTCTCTCCATTCTAATTTCAACATTACAAGCTGATTGCCTTCCCAAAGGGACATCCTGATTTTCAGTAGTGCTCATCCTGCAACATCTTATTCCCATTGTGGGTAGATTATATTTTCAAAAGCCATGTTCTTTCTCCTGGAACCTGGATGTCCCTTTTAACTGCCTCAGTCATTAGAACAAAGTGAAAGTGATGCTACTTGACTTTTTAGGTTAGAAGACACTGCAGTTTCTGCTTGCCTATTTCTGTCTCTGTCTCTATCTTTGAGTGGTAGATCTCAGAATTTAACCACCATTTGTAAGAAAGTTCAGTTACAGACATGAAAAAGCATTATGGAAAGGAATTAAAGTCTGCAGTTATAAGCCAGCCTCAGTTGCCACTGTATTAGTGAATGAGCCTTCAGATGATTTTAGCTCCCAGCCTGTGAGTCTTTTGACTGAGGCCACAGATGATACAGAGCAGAGATAAGCCATTCCTATTGAGATCTTCACAAATTCCTGACCCATATAAACCTGGAGAGATAATAAGTGATTTTTGCTGTTGAGTTTTGGAGTAATTTACTTCACTGCCAAAGTAACTTGAAATACCCTTTTAACATGTTCAGGGCCTCTGAGCCCTCTAAGTCTCATATTGCCTAGCAGGCCATCCTCCTACTCCCTTGACTTCTTATTTTCCTTGGCTCCCTGCCTGGGGAGTTTTCTGACTATGCAATAGTGAGTCAGAGTTCAAGCAAAGCAATGATGTTCCCATTGTGCTGAGGAGCAGATACCAGAGTTCAGGGCAAAAGAAGCAGCTGGAATCTGCCAGGGAGGGAGAGAAGAGTACCAGAAACTGTAAATAAATGGGTAAATGTCAAAGTCTTTATTTTTATCTGATTTCTTTAAAAGATACTGACTGAGGCAAAAAAATGCTTATATTTAATATATATTGACATATAAGATATGTATATATAAAATGCATATAAGATGTATAAAGATGGGGCTTATAGAAGTAATTACAGCTCAAAGGATGGTTGACTATAATACAAATTTCCTTTTTTAAGGTTATTACAATTGTGAGTTGTTATAAAAATACTAAGGAAATTAGATTAAACAACTCTCACACAGAGAAAGCTTTAGGCCCAGTTGAATTCTATCCATTTGTGGTAGAAATAACAACGGCACAAACTTTTTCCAAAAAATAGAAGGAACACTTCTCAACTCATTTTAAGAGGTCAGCATAATCTTGATGCTAAAACCTGATGAAGACAATATAATAAGAGAAAATTATGAGGGGGAACTTATAATATCAGAGTGAGTAGTTTTAACAAAGACAATAATAAAAATAGATTAAGGTGGTGAATGCAGCTATTTAAGGACTTTGAAAGTTTACCAAAAGTATACAACTAAAAAATAAACAATTATTTATAGAAATCAATAGGGCTTGGGTTAAGAACAATGAGAGTCTGTTTCTCTAGGGAGACAAGCTATGAAAGCTAGCAGTTTTACTGCCAGAGAAGGATCTAGAGTAAAGCTTAGACAAACTGTGTGCTTAATAGCATTGTCAACAACAGTTGTAAACTTGGGAAGAACAGTGGCTCAGACAGGCTGAGGTTACAGACAATGGATTGGCACACTATCTAGAAGTTTATTAAAAGGATCTGGGAAATAAGATGCATGCAAGTGCAGAAGAAGATAGAAGGAACCCAGAAATTAAAAGCTGGGGCAGTCATGCATGGAGGTGCCTACTTCTAATCTCAGCTACTCAGGAGTCTGAGATAGGAGCATTACAGGATTTCAAGTTCAAGACCAGCCTGGGCAACTTAACAAGACCTTGTCTCAAAATTTAAAAAGGGATGGGTTGGGGGCTGGGGTTGTGGCTCATTGGTAGAGTGCTTGCCTAGCTTGTATGAGGCTCTGGGTTCAATCCTCAGCACCACATAAAAATATATAAATAAAATAGAGGTACTGTGTCCATCTACAACTAAAAAAATATTTTTTAAAAAAGGGATGGGTTATAGCTCAGTAGTAAAGCACCACTGGAATCAATCCTCAGTAACTTAAAAATAAAAAAAAGTAAGCACTGCTTGAATTAGAACTCAGAGAAGATAAACTTTAAGACAAGAAAAAGTACCAGAAACAAGGAATATTTTGTAATGATAAAAGGTTTCAGTCATTAGTAAAATACAGCGATTATAAATTATACATACTCAATAACTTAAAGTTCACGAAGCATAAATGAACAGAATTCCAAGGAGAAATAATCACAATTATAGCTAGAAACTCAATACCCTACTCTTAATACTTAAAAAATAAACTAGACAAAAGATTAGCAAAGATTACTGAGGAGATGAATAGCACTATGAACCAACTTGACCTAAATGACAGCAGAATATGTACTCTATATACTCTTCAAACACATTTTTAAACAAGTGTTGTAAATCTAAAAGGATTTAAAGTATGTTCTCCAATACCAATGGAATTAAGTTGGAAATAGGAAGCAGAAATGTGGAATATCCCCAAATGCTGTTTGGAAGGGATATCTGCAAGGGAAAACTAAAAAAATATTTTTCACTAAATGAAAATGAAAAAGCAAAATATCAAAATTTATGGTGGTCTTAGAAATAAATTAATGGAGTGTCATGTCTATCTAAAAAGAACAAATAAAAAAAATTTAAAAAGAAACAAATTAATGGTTCTAAATGCTTACAGAAAAAAGAGAATCTGAAGTCCATAAGTTTCCACCTTAAGAAACTAAAAATGGACAAACTGAATCTAAAGCAAGCAGAAAGAAGGAAATATTGATTAAACTGGAAATTAATGACATAAAAAAATAGAGAAAACTAACATGTAGTCAAAAGTTAGTTCTCTGAAAAATTGTCAGTAAAACACAAATCTTGTGATCCTCCTGTCTCAGCCTCCTGACCACTGGGGTTACAGACTTGTGTCTGGCCAGATTTTTTTTTTTTTTAAATGATTCCCAAATATATTTCTACTGAGAAGAGACTTATTTTAATTCTCTTTTTCAAAATATTTGTTTACTTGTAGATGGTCACAATACATTTACTTATTTATTTTTATGTGGTACTGAGGATTGAACCCAGTGCTTCACACGTGCAAGATGGGCACTCTACTACTGAACCACAACCCCAGCCCCTGATTTTAATTTTTACAGTGAAAATACATAGTTCTCATTTTATCCTTTTAGAAGAAAGTATAACTTTTCTTCAAGTGAAATGTAAAAGGGCACATAATAAATACAGCTGCAGTAAAGGTAAGCAGGAAATTTAAAGATCTGATAACATGATTAATTCCACATTTTATAGCCTTCCCTCTGACTGTACTCTTTTTTTGGTGGGGGTGGGGTGGGTTTTTATTGGGGATTAAACCCAGGGACACTTTACCTCTGAGCCATATCCTAGTCCTTTTTTTATTTTGAGATAGGATCTCACTATATTTCTGAGGGCCTTGCTGTGTTGCTGAGGCTGGCCTTGAACTTGTGATCCTCCTGCCCTAGCCTTCCAAATTGCTGGGATTACAGGCCTGTGCTACAGTGCCTGGCTCCTCTGACAGGTTACAGGGCTCAAATGTATAACATAAATTGTCAAGTGAAAGATGCAGAATACTAAGTAATATATACAGATTTTTTGTTCTAAAAAATACTAGAACCAAGCAACTATACTAAAATTAGCAGTCATCAAAGCCAGGTATGGTGGCACACACTGGTAGTGCCAGCTACTCAGGAAGCTGAGGCAGGAAGATTGCCTGAGCCTAGGAGTTTGGGGAGACATCTCAATAATAATAATAACATAATAATAAAAATAATAATCATTAACTTTTGTGGAATTGTAGTGAAACAGGACAGAAGAACCTGTATACCTGAGGAATTTTCAGGAAGCAGGTTTATTGATTGCAGGGTCCAGAGAGGCTATTGCATAGCCTAAAACATTCTCTGGGGAACGGGGGTTGTGGCTCAGTGGTGGAGCACTTGCCTAGCACGTGTGAGGCACTGGGTTCAATGCTTAGCACCTCATAAAATAAATAAATAAAATAAAGGCTTTGTGTTTGTCTACAACTAAAAATATTTTTTTAAAAATTCTCTGAACCAAGATTTTGGAAATTCTTTGAACTTTACACCCATTGTGGGGGGTGTGGCCTTGGAAGTTTACATGCTGGAGGAGTTTACATAAAATAATTTCTTAAGTTCTAAGGACAGACACAGGTCACATAAGTTTTACCAAGAAAACACAGATAATATATTTTGTACAACAAGCTTACAGACTAATTCTGTTACACCTTTTGTGTGCAAACCTGGCATTTACAAGAAAGAATTTCAACCACAATAACCTTTGCAGACATCCTGCTGATCTGACAGAGGAGAAGCTTAATTATGGCAAGAGTCTTTTGGGTGGGGGTACCTGGTCTGCTTCATTAGAAAATTTTAAGTTTTTCTTTATACTTTTCTGTACTTTTAAAATGTTTACAATAAATAGTATTTATATGAAGAAGAAATTGTTACTTTTTAAAAAATATATTTCTGTAAATTTTCTTTAAACAGGAATAGAAAAGACATCTAAAAATTCCATGAGCTCTGAAAATTACATGAGTTCTGAAAATTCCATAACTACTTTTCTTTCATGTAAACACAGTAATATTTCAAATGGATTAAATATTTTAAACAAAACAAAATCTGATTGCTTTCAGTCTTTACATTGTTAACAGAGGTTGAAGGTCACCTAAATATTTTGGGGGGTATTTTCTTCTAGGAACTTGATAAAAATGCCACTGAAAAAGTCCAGGCCATGTTCACAGCCATTGATGAGCTCTTATATGAGCAAAAGTCAAGTGTGCATACCAAGAGTCTACAAGAAGAGTGCCAASAGTGGACATCTAGCTTTCCTCACCTCAGGTATTGAAGGCTACCATTGTCTTGTATTTATGGCTAAAACTAAAATTAAAAAGTGCATTTCTAAGAAAGCTTGTATTCTGAAATATCTATTGGATATTATTTTAATGAATGTGAACAAGGCCATGTGGTGTAAAGGCTCAACTGAGAGAATGAATACTCAAGTTGGTGGAAGTTTCCATAACTACCAATATGCTATCCTGGTTGAGAGAAACTATTTCTATACCAGTAGCTGAGATCTGTGTATCAGGAGTTTCTAAAGAACTCTACTTTTGAGCAATATGGTCAGAAAATATATTTGTTTATGCAGATTATTATAGAAGATTAAGGGCAAATTCCAAAAGTTTGCTCAGTTTCCTTGGGTTTATTTTTTTCCTGTTTTTTCCCCTTTTGTGTATTTATTTTTTCCTTAGGATTTTCAAAAACTCCCAGGCTATTGCTTTATCTTTTCTATCCCCATTTTGTTGAAGAGAGAGATATACCTGTGGTAAGGATTCACATTTTATCTGAAGAATTATTCTTGAGCCAGGTGTGGTGGCACACGCCTATTATCCCAGCAGCTCGAGAGGCAGAGGCAGGAGGGTCACAAGTTCAAAGCCAGTCTCAGCAAAAGTGAAGTGTTAAGCAACTCAGTGAGACCCTGTCTCTAAATAAAATACAAAATAGGACTGGGGATGAGGCTTAGTGGTTGAATGCCCCTGAGTTCAGTCCCCAGTACCCGCCCCCCAAAGAATTAAATCAATGTCAAACTAATATGTACTGGACTTCTATGTAGAGCCATCATATTTGTTCCAGAAATGACTAGTTTTTGTATGTATGCCAAGTGAAGGTGTTTAATGGTCTATATGTTTTCATTTTGAAGAATTCTGGGTAAACAGATAATTACTCCAAGTGAAGGTTATGGATTATATCCTAGATCCCCACCTGCTATTTCAGCTTCACATGAAGCAGCCTTGTCTCAAGAAAGAGATTCAGCAATGTAAGTATTCTATTATGTATGTGTTTCAATATCCTGACATGCAAATATTATTTTCTACTGATTGAACTAAGGATTAAGATAATTATACTTCTTGGTATTTAATAAAGCACAGAAAATTCTGTAAGATTGGTTATAGTCTTTGTGTATATTAAAATTTTGTTATATAATTTTTTGTTCAAAAAATTAAAATATTTCCTGCAATTGAGGGATATATTTGTTATTCAGATCTATTCATCTGTATATCTCTATATCTACACCTATTCATAAATATAGGCACTTCCCCTCTGGAATAAATGTGTAAATAGAATGGTTGTTAAAAATTTAGGGGTCACACTTTAAAATTTTTTTGAAAACTATACTTTAAAAGTGATTTTTTAAAAAACTTGTTAATTATAACTTAATCCCTTTACAGAACCAGAATTAAACTTCAAAATAATTTTTAAGTGGCTAAATTTTTGGAATGCCTCAAATCTTATAGTAGAAATATTCAACTAGGATTATTTCTAAACCTATGCTTATTTAAATATATTATAAAATGTAATACTATAGTTTTTAAATTCATTTTAAAAATTATTTCTATATTTTTTCCTACTTATTTGATATCTTCTAGGACTATAACTTACTTTGGGTGCCTTTTGGGCTTTCAGTTAAACGTAACTTGTCACAGACGAAGATTATGGAATCTGCATTGTCAGCTAATTTTTGGTCAGAGAATGGAATTGTTTGCTTTTCTCAAAGTAATATAAATTCAAGCTGCTGGTTTTCTTTTTAAATTTAAACTCATATATCAACAAACCTTCTTAAGTTTACTCCTTTCATATAAATTTAAACCCAATGTCTCCCACAGATATAATTTATCCTTTTATTTCTTCTGACCAAAATTCTGTTGTCATTAGGATATATTTTCTTTAAATGTTAGTATAAACTGTTTTATGTGCATTATTTTATAACTGGAGCAGTAGGTCCGCTTAGAGATTTTTTTTTCTTCAAAAATATAAAGAATCAAGTCTGATTAACTCCCCCTTTTTAGGTTACCTGAGTAACTCATTATTCTTCAACATATTATTATCTTTCCTTTCTACCTGCTGCCACCACTGCTGACTGATCTTTTTATTTTTGGATCTACTTTGTCTAGGCTATTAAACTTACAGTTCTCAATAATTACTTACATAGATAAAACAAATATCTGTGTATACATTACACAGACACATACATAGATTATGCAGTTATATTACCATTGCCAGTATTCACTGAAAAAAATAAAAAATTAAACATAATCCACGTTTACTTTTTTCACGTAACAACTACTCTGTCTATATTCAATATTTCATCTATTCTTTTTTTTATATTTATTTTTTAGTTTTAAATGGACACAATATCTTTAGTTTATATTTATGTAGTGCTGAGGATTGAACCCAGTGCCTCATGCATGTTAGGCAAGTGTTCTACCACTGAGCCACAACCCCAGCCCCAGTACTTCATCTATTCTTGAGTACATTATGAACTCATAGCATTTCAAAATACTTTCATAGTTTATTTAACTGTAATTATTATTAATGCTCTAATTGTTACACCTTGACCACTTCAAGCTAGTACCTTGTTTTTGTTTTGACTTGCTTTCTGATTACAGTAAGATGTTCCAGGCCCATCCTTAATTTTTTTCTCATTTAAGACATGGCATCAGCTGAACTTCAAGGAGCCCTGATTCCTTCAAGATGCTATTAGAATTAAAGAACAAAATTTGGGTGGTGAGGATGTATAAGTTGGTGATACTACTGCTATTTTGCCACTTTTCGTTGTGAGAATTGTAGGAAAAATGTGTTATGAATTTGCTTTTAGTTTTTCAGTTTAACAAATCAGATTGCCAAAGAGGTTTATCAACTACTAGGAATTTTTACAAAAATAACATTTCATATTATATTTATTTTGCAACTCTATGTCAGATTTTTAAAATTCAGTGTAGATTTTTTTTCTATTTAAAACTTTAAGTAGCTTACCATTTAATTTAAGAGAAAATCTAAAATGATATCATAAGCTGATCCCTGCCTACTTCTCTACTTTTATCTTCTGTCATTTTCTCTTCTCCCTCTCATTTAGTAAGTCTCCAAACATTGGTTTTCTTTCATATTTCAAACACACTAAAATAGGTATTTGGTTCAGTTTCTATTAAGGCATTCTTGGGCTAGAGAAAAGTGGTACCATAAGCAACACAATAATATAAAATCGAGTTTTCTGTATTTCTTAACACCTAGCACAGTACCTAGAGCATGGTTAGCATTCAGTTTTCTTTTTTCTCTTTTTTTACTAAATCAAAAGTAGGCTATATTTATATGACTATAAAATACATGAAGATGCAATATGAATTAAAATTATGGTTGCAAAACAGACTTACTAATCAAAATAAATATTAGTGTCTAGTCAAAATAAAATTTGAGGAAGCTAAAACTTTGGAATGGTGGCAATATATAGGGAAATAGGCTAAAAAAGGACCCTAAAGAAAATGAACTTGAAGGTATTTCTACTTGAAAAAAATCTATGAATTCTGCTGCTTCTAGTTAGCTTAAAGGGCTTGTCTCTTCTTAAATAAAAATTATCTAAAGTATATGACCGTAGGCAGAATTATAACCCTTAAAATTATTAATAAAAACCTCTGAAATAAACACTTGAATACTTGATTAAATTATTTTCAACAAGAGTGCCAAGACCAATGAGGAAAGGACAGTTTTCTTCAACAAATGGTGTTGGGGAAACTAGATGTCCACATTCAAAAGAATGAAGTTGGACCCTTCCCTCCCTTACTTTATATAAATACAAAATATTAACCCAAAACAATTAAAGACCTAATTATAAGAAATTATAAAACTTCTGATAAAAATTATAAGAACTATAAAACTCCTGTAATAAAACAGAGGGAAAGCTTCAAGACATGAGATTTGACAGTGATTTCTTGGATGTAAAATCAAAAGAACAGACCAAAGCAAAAATAGACAAATGGGACTAAATGACATATAAATACTTCTCTGCATCAAAGAATGAAAAAGCAACACATGGAATGGGAGAAAATATTTGCAAATTTATATCATAAAAGATTAATATCCAGAAAATATAAGGAACTTCTATAACACAAACACACACACACAAAATGGTAACCCAATTGAAAAATGAACAAGATTTGATTCTTGGACAATTCTCCAAAGATATTCAAATGATTACCATGCATGTGAAATGCAAATCAAAACTTTGCAGTATCACACCTTATGTCCATTAGGATGACCACCATCAAAGGAATAGAAAATAAGTGTTGACAAGGATACAGAGAAATTGGAACCTTGGTTCACTGTTTATAAGAATGTAAAATGGTGTAGCCATTATGGAAAACAGTATGGAGATTTCTCAAAAAATTTAAAATAGAATTACCATATAAATCTAGGAATCCTTCTTCTGGATATATATCCAAAAGAATACAAAACAAGATCCCAAATATATATTTGCACATTCATACTCATTCCAGTATCACTTAGAGTAGCCAAGAGATGGAAACAACCCAAATATCTATTGATAGAAGAATAGATTAAAAAAAGAAAAAAGCAGAGACTGCCCACACCAGCTCACACAGGATCCAGGCTCACCCCAGGAACTGGTCCACCCCTCCACCAGCAGGGCAGACACCTGCCAGAGCCTAGCTTCTGGCACAGGTCCGCCCCTTCAGTCCAACAAATTACCGCTGGAATCAGGCCCAGCCCAGATCTGTCCACACTGACTTGCACAGGACCCAGGTTCAGAATAGGTCTGAGTTCACGCACCCCCCCMCACACACACACACACCTGGGAGCCTAAGCGTAACCCACTTTCATCTTGGACATGGCAGTCATTGCCATAGCCTTCCCCATACAATTACTTCTGATATTGCCGCCACCAACCTTAGATGAAGTAGCATACACTGAAGGACACCAGCAGGGTCTGGAAGCCCAACATAAGGTGAGGTAAAGACAATCTACATGGGTGTTACAAGAATATAGGGAAGAAACTGTAATATCTCAGGTCCACACTACAAGAAAGGAAGACACATAGACATCATGAAAACACAAGGGAGGAAAGTGCCCCAAACAAACAGGATACTATAATAACAGAACCCATGGACTGCAAAGTTGATGAAATGTCAGAAAGGAGTTCAGAAGGTTCATAATTAAAATGATCTGTGAATTAAAGAATTACCTAAATGAGCAAATACAGGCAAAAAATTGATCTCTTCAACAAAGAGATAAGAGAGCAAATACAGGTAGCAAAAGATTACTTCAAGAGAGAGAGACTCTGGAAAAAAAAAAAAACAACAGGGCTGGGGATGTGGCTCAAGGGGTAGCCTACGCGCTCACCTGGCATGCTTGCGGCCCGGGTTCGATCCTCAGCACCACATACCAACAAAGATGTTGTGTCCGCCGAGAACTAAAAAATAAAAAATTCTCTCTCTCTCTCTCTCTCTCTCTCTAAAAAAAAAAAACAAAAAAAACCCCCCAAAACAAAAATAAATAAAATCCACAACATTATTTAAAAAAAAACAACAACAGAAATCCTTCAAGTGAAGGATTCAATAAATCAAATTAAAAAACTCAGTAGAAAGCATACCCAACAGACTAGATCACTTAGAAGAAAGAACATCAGATAATGAAGACAAAGTATACAATCTAGAAAATAAAGTTGATCTCACAGTGAAGATAGTAAAAAACCATGAACAGAACATTTAAGAATTATGGGACAGCATCAGAAGACCAAATCTAAGTGTTATTGGGGTAGAGGAAGGCACAGAGTTTCAAACCGAAGGAATGCATAATCTCTTCAATGAGATAATATCAGAAAATTTCCCAAGCATGGAGAATGAATTGGAAAACCAAATACAAGAGGCTTACAGGACACCAAAAGTACAAAATTACAACAGATCTACACCAAGGCACATTATAATGAAAATGCCTTGCATACAGAATAAGGATTTAATCTTAAAAGCC